TGCTGTATGGAAAGTGAATTTGCTCTGTAAACTTTCACCCAAATCACAATTTAAAAAGGAAAAGAAAAAAAAAAAAAAAGAAGGACCACAAACAGGATGCGACTGCTAACTGACTGTGGTGTGGCAGCTGGAATTGGCAAAAGGAACAAGTCCCATGGCCTAAGAGTCACTTTAAAAATATTATTAGTTTTAGTGACAATATGCACAACACATCATTTGCCTGTTCTGGAGGGTTATTTTGTGGAGGTACCATGAAAGCCAAAATGGTACCCACTCACTTTGACGAGCGAGCCATCACCCAGGAGTCAGGTGTGGGGGTAACGACAAGTCAAGTCTCATTCAGAATCGACACTCCTATGTGCCAGTCTCTGTTCCCTCTGAGCATACGCCCAGGGTTTGGATTATACGTGTGACTTTCGGCTCAGAAATAGGTACCCCATAACTTATCCTTCCACTTATCTCCTTCTAGTTCTTAATTTATATTGGTCTATCTCGGAGATGTTGTGGGTTTGGTTCCAGACCATGGCAATAAAGTGAACCACACATGTTCTTTCGTTTCCCAGAGCTTATAAAGGAAACCTAAGAAGGGGTCGCTATGAGTCAGATCTGACTTGATGACAGTGAGATTTTTTTTAAAAAAAAGGTCATGTTTACTCTGTGGTCTATTAAGTGTTCAATTGCCTGATAAGAAAGTATGAGCTATTCTGAGAATGACCAAAATGGGACCCAGAGACACAGAGTGAGCACATGCCATCAGAGAAATGGTGCAGATTTGCTTGGACTCAAGTCTGCCACAAACCTTCCGTTTGTAAAAAACACACACCATGTGCGAAGTGCGGTAAAAGGAAATGCGGTAGAATGAGGTCTGCCTGCATTAACCCAAATGCTGTCATCATTGTCCAAGTTGCAAGCATTTACCTTCTGACCCTGAGGCTGTATTTCCCACATTTCTAATCATCTCTTACGTGGACGCACCCACAGGCACAAGAGAACGTGACCAGCATGTGCTCACAGCCCTTCACTGCTCGGCTTAAAGGAAGCCCGGGGCCACAGGACGAGACTCTGCCAGGGCTGTCCTACCGGAGGCAGCCGCGGAGGCCTTGCTGCTGGCCGTGAAGCGGTAGAAAGGCGGGTTGTCGCAGTGCTGGACGATGGGGTTCACCGGCTCTGTCTGCTGCAGCTCAAAGAGGAGTTCCTCCATGGTCTGAATGGTGTTGTTACGGCACAAGTACACGGCCACCTTTTTGATCTGAGAAAAGGAAATTGAGGGCTGTTTCCTGGCGTCTGGTCCACAGGCCCACCACCCACCTGTCAGCTCATATACAGTGGCAGCTGGTGTGTTCTGTGACGCTTGAAGCTGTGCCACTGGTATTCCAAACACCAGCAGAGTCACGTTGTGGACGGGTCTCAGTGGTGCCTCTAGAGTAAGAGTAGGGAGAAAGGCCTGTTGCTCTACTGGTGAAAATGAGCCAATGAAACCCCCACAGGTCACAAGAGAACACTGTCGGACACATCTTCAAGTGGGATGAGTCACTGGAGAGGACGTCCTGTTGGGCAAGGGCGACGCCCGGAAGGGCGTTAGCGGACTCGACCACAGCTAACAACAACAGTCCACAAGGACACAAGGCTGACGAAAGCCAAGATGGTACCCACTGACTTTGAGCGAGTCATCACCCAGGAGTCAAGTGTGGGGGTAACTGCAAGTCAAGTCTCATTCAGACTCGACAGTTCCGTGCGCCAGTCTGCGTTCCCTCTGGGCACACACCCAGCGTTTGGAGTATACTCCCCGTTTTTACAGGCACAGCTGAGAGCAGTGGCTTGTTCTGAAGGCATTACCTTCTCTGATAGCTGGCTGTAAGGAAGTTATTTCTGGGGCACACGGATTCTCTCTCAATGGAAAACTTGGCAACTATACTCTTATCTTAAGAAAGAATTTTATTTACATAGATCATGGGAAAAAAACTGTGAGGTATTTTTTTTAAAAAAGGAATCCAGGCTCCCGCAAGTCTCTTTTCCCTAGGCACAAAACAGTGTTTTCACAATTTTTGCTTGAATTTTAAAAATAACTCTGGATTATTAAAAATAAGCTCTACATGATTGTGGGCCTGATCATCAAACCTGAGGGATGTAAGGTATAAATAAGCTCACGTGGCCCAAAGCAGCAAAACCCAAACCCACTGTTGTGGAGTTGATTCTGACCCAAAGCGCCCCTAGAGGACAGAGTGGAACTGCCCCAGAGGGTTTCCAAGGCTGTGATCTGATCTTTGAGGAAGCTGACTGCCTCATCTTTCTTCTGTGAAGTGGTTGGTGGGTTCAAACCACCGACTTTTCAGTTAGCAGCCAAGTGCGTTAACCACTGCAACACCCTGAGCTCCCTTCTGTGTGTGCAAAGGCTGAGAGAAAGGATGACAGAGCCATTAGCAAACGCATGTAGCCTGGCTCTTGGGAGGGCCAAAAGCACCTGTCACATAACCTACGGTTGTGCTCACAGGAGGAGAGCGTGACAGACAAGCCCTGACGTGTCTCTGGGGCAAAGAGCATGGTGTTTTGCATGCCCCAGACAGTGCCAGCAGCAGGGATGGGCACTCCCAGACGTCTGAGAGACGCTTACGTAGGGCAGGAGGACCGTGTCGCTGCTGACCCCGCACAAGCTGATGAGAAACTGCAAGGTGACCCGCAGGTTGTTGCTCCATTTCTCATTGTTGGCTAACGCGTTCCAAGCATTTTCCATTTCTGGGCCGGGGACTTCATCTCCGTACTGTAACGACATAAATGAAAGCAGGCACAGGAGAAGTGTGGAAAACAAGGGTCGGGGGCCCAGCATGTGATTAAAAGTGGTCTTGAGACTCACTGTCATCTTGTCATCACAAGAAAGGGTCACCAGGCATTCCTAGCAGGATCAGGCAATCGACTCCCGTAGAGATACCGCCTTGGAAACCCAAGGAGGGGTGGTTACAGGTCGGAGCCATCTTGACAGCAGTGAGTTTGGTTTGTTTTTTTGGCTTACCACTTTATGATACCCTGCACAGGGCCAGAAATAGCTTTGCATGCAGTTTTCCTAAACATCCTTCTTTCAAACATTTACTTCCTGTTGTTGTTGAGAATATATGCTGCAGACCATTCACCAATGCAACAAGTTTTACTGGGACGATTCACTGATATTGGTTACATTCTTTGAATTGTGTAACCACTGCCATGCTTCTTCTCCAAATCGTTCCTCCCACTTGGACATGAACTCACTGCCCCCCAGGCTTCCTATCTACACGAACCTTTTGAGTTGCTGTTGTCCGTCTGATCCCATATTCCAAACCAAAACCAAAGTCACTGCCGTCAAGTCGGATCCGACTTATAGTGACCCCTCCTTGGGGTTCTGAGGTGGTATCTCTACGGAAGTAGAGAGCCCAGTCTTCCATAGAGATAGTTCTTTAAAAAGCGCAAGGTGCAAGGCCCACTTTCTCTGTTAATTAAGCTAAAGCACTGTTTGGTTTAAAGAAGACTTCAAGGGATATTTTTGGTTAAAGATTTAAAGGTTATCTCAGGGAAATAGTCCTGATCAAAACGGGGAAGATACAGAACAGAATTTCAAATTCATGGAATCCAGACTTTCTGGAGCTATGGAGGCTGGATGAACTCCTGAAACAACTACCTTGAGATAAAGCATTCCCCACCCTCCATGGTAAAAACATATATAACAAAACATTCACTAATTCAGTAATTTTACATGTAGATTTTAGTGACATTGATTATGTTGGGCAACCAACACCACTATTTTTTTCCAAATTATATTCATGCACCTTTCACTGATAAATGCCATTTGCCTGTGTTTGTACCAGCGGGCTCACCTCCCTGGGTTTCCTCTGACCACGGACCTGTGATTCTGAGAACATGTGTTTTTGGCACTAACCTTGGCCGTCATATACATGAGGTTATTCAGGACCAGCGACGTGGCCTCAGGAGAGCCCCAGCCATTCCCTTTCAGCCCATGGGAGGCAGTCACCTCCCCTTCTCGGTCCTTGGCCTCATCCTCCTCTGGGCTGCTGGGGCTTGAGCCCGGGAGGAGAAGTCTGCTGTCCACCAGCTCGATGTTGTGCAGCCAGGGGAGGAGGTAGGTAAGCATGATCTGACGTCCATTGGGGTGTGTCGTGGGGAACCGCTGGCTGATCTCTAGAGAGGGTGGCAGGGAGGGAGAGTGGGATGTTAGCTCATCCAAACACACTGCAGTGGTAATTCCAACTCACAGTTTGCCTGGGAGCCCCTGGGCATTGCCAATGGTTAACACGCTCGACTGCCAACAGAAAGGTTGGAGGGTTGAGTCCACCCAGAGGTACCTCGGAAGGGCTGGTGATCTGCTTCTGAAAAGGCAGCCACTGGAAACTGTGGGGAGTGCAATTCCCCTCCAACACACAAGGGGGCACTGTGAGTCAGAGTTCACTCGACGGCAAGCGATACTGGCACAGTTGGATCAGTGCTTCCAGCTTACAAAGCATTTTCACATACAGGATTCTCACACCACTGCACAACTGAAGACCCATCCTTGTCGTGGAGTCTTCTTGTTCTCCATCTGGGCGTTCTGTCCCAGTAAAGTGGCCCTGCCTGGTGGGCAACATACAGGCTTTGTAGAAGGGACATGGGCTGTAATACCTCGTGAGTTCTGGGAAGGCAGAAGAGGTATAACAGAGTGGAAATAACAAGGGTCTCGCAGTCAGAAGGACATGGGTTCAAATCCCAGTTCCAGCACTTGCTAGCGGCATGTGATGCTGGGCTGCCTATTTGTTCGGGTTCTCTAGCACCTCTCCAACACAACAAGGCCACAAATGGGTGGCTTGAACCAACGGGGATCTACTCTCCTACACTTGTGAAGGCCAGAAGTCCAAGTTCTGAGTGACAGCTTTTGGGGCTGGGTAAAGCCCCTCAACCTTGGGCTTCAGCTCTGCCTCCTGCTCCCGGCCCACTGGAGCTGGAGGCTTCTCTTCACTCAGGCAGCTGCTGCCTGCTGAGGCTGACAAACCCAAGGTCGACCAATAAAAAGGCACAGTCCCAAGGCTGTCAAATCACACGGCAGGCCACTGATTCCAGTTCACCAACAGTTCCGAGATCGGCAGGCAGCATGGGAGGCTGCGGAATGAAGAGTCGGCCACATGCAGGGTCCAAGTGCGCCAAAACGCTCAGGGACCTTTCTCAAAGCTTCTCCTTAGGAGAGACCACATCCAAAAGGCAGCTGCTCACAGCACATTCCACATGGAGCTGATGACCAGTCTCATCACTGGGAATAACAACATCCAGCTGCCAGCCACTCAACCAGGCCCAGCCAAGCTGACACACACAACTTAACCACCACATTATTGAACATCACTGCTCCTTGCTTTCTTGATGGGCCAGTCACTGGGCCACTGTGAGGACTGGAAGCTATCCTCACGGTGCCCATGACAGGCTCAGTACACGCCTCACTGCTGTGTACGGAATGGTGATCGGAATTGCACAGCCATGACCATCTTCCTACTAAACCAACGTTTCTCCAGGCGTCTTCCACAGAACACTTTCTGCTGTGTTGGCTGCCATGGAGTCGGTCCTATGAGTGTCAGCACAGAACTGTGCTGTGGAGGGCTTTCGAGGAGGGGACCTTTTGCAGTCAGGTCACCAGGCCTCTCTGCTGAGGGTCCTCTGCGTGGGTTTGAACCACCAACCTCTTGGCTCTACCATCTGCCCCACCCAGGAAAGCACTCCACAAAATACCAGCTGTGAAAACGTGAGAGGCAAACCTCCAACTGGAACAAACCCAGTGTGTGGACTTGCGTTTGTGGGCTTGACGTGAAGACCACCAAGGGGGTAGAGAGAGTGTGCCAAACGGTGCTCTTCCGGCTGGGAGGGACATGGGCACTCAGGATGAAGGCATCTGTCCTGCTCCATTCATTGCACCGTGACCTTCTCTGAGAGCAGCATTGCCCCGCGGTGGCCCTTAATGCTGTAACTGGAATGGGCTGGGCGTACACAGCTTTCTGTCTACTCTGTAAGCTCTGTATCCTGAGGAGGAACTGTTTTATCCTAAGGGGAATTAGAAAGCTCATTCTGATGCACTTATTATTATCCAGTGTAGCATGTAATCTCATTTAGAGAGTTCTTGGTTGCCAAACATTAGAACAACGCAGGCGCCAGGAATTACACCAAGATAATCCACTGAGGAAGGTCGCATCAGGATTGGAAGAAGACTCACTGACAAACTGCAGACAACATAACCTTGCTTGCTGAAACTGAGGAAGTCTTGAAGCACTCAGTGAAGATCAAAGACTCCAGCCTTCACTATGGATTACACCTCAACATCCATTGAAAATCCTCACAACTGGACCAATAAGCAACATCACGATAAACAGAGAAAATGTTGACGTTGTTAAGGACTTCATTTTATTTGGATCCGGAATCAAAGCCCATGGAGGCAGCAGTCAAGAAATCAAAGGACATAATGCATTGGGAAAACCTGCTGCAAAAGGCTTCTTTAGAGTGTTTAAGAGCAAAGATGTCACCTTGAGGACTAAAGTGCGCCTGACCCAAGCCATGGTCTTTTCAGTCTCTTGATAAGTATGTGAAAGCTGGACAATGAACAAGGAAGTCTGAAGAGGAACTGACGCCTTTGACTTACGTTGTTGTTGTTGTTGTTGTTATGTGTCTGAGTCATAGGGACCCCTGCTTGGGTTTCCAAGGGTGGTATCACTACGGAAGTAGATTGCCCCATCTTCCTTCCAAGGAGTGGCTGGTGGGTATGGTCTTGGCAAAGCATACTGAACACACCACAGACTGCTAGAAGAATGGCTAAGTGTGTCCTGGAAAAGTACCAGAATGCTCCTTAGAAGTGAGGATGGCAAGAGGTCGTGTCCCACACTTTGGACGCGCTGTGAAGAAGGCACATTCTCCATGGAAAGAAATCATATTTGGTGAAGTAGAGGGTCAGGGAAGAAGAGGAAGACCTTCAAGGAGAAGGATGGACACAGTGGCCCAAGGACGGGCTCAGGCACAACAAGGACTGTGAGGATGGGGCAGGATGGGGCATGTGACACCGACCTGACAGCTCCCAACAGCAGCCGGGATGGAAGAGGATCACCGCCTCCCTTTCCCACAGAACTGTGAGGCCTGAAAGATCTTTTAACCAGAAGCCTTTAGTATGGAGATTGACACGTCCCATGCTGAGCCCTAATGCCTCCAGGTAGATCTTTTAACCAGAAGCCTTTAGTATGGAGATTGACACATCCCATGCTGAGCCCTAATGCCTTAGTATAGAGATTAAAACGTCCCATGCCTCAGAGCCTTTTATCAGAAATCTGCATGGCTCCAAAAAGCCTCTCGCCCACCTTTGAAGACTCCGATGGCTCTTACCTCCCGGATTTCGCAGGGAGTATGCACATATCAAAGAGATCCGCCTGGCCTGAAAAATCTCTCACTCACCTTTGAAACCGGGGGGATTCCAACCCGCCCCCAAATTCCCAAACCCCTGTCCTAAAAACCAAATTATCTACTCCACCCCATGTTCCTCTATAAATATGTTTTAATGTAAGAGCACAGGGTCTTTTGCTCAAGCCACTGATTTGGTGAGAGCAAGGACTCTAACTTAAGTTAGCTAATAAACTTTCCTATTGCTTTTGCATTGTCGTGTGTTGGCAAATTCCTCGCGCCGAACAACTCCTTCATAACCTGGGCACAACAGAACAACTGCTGGGCTCCAAACTCGGATATTTTTGTGAGCAGCTGAGCACTGAACCACTGCACCCCCAAAACTACTACCATGTTTTATGCTGAAGAACAAGAATGTATTTATCACCATGCCACAAACATCAGACAGGACTAAGACTATGTTCATTATTTCACAGTTTACTTAACCTTCATGGATGTTACAGCTCATGTTTTCAATTGTCCTAACACACCTTCACATCCTTCTGAAACAAATAAAGTAAAAACTATGTCCCCCACCCTGGCACCTGGATGAGAATAGATAAATAAACAGAAGTAAACTTAAATTACCACCCTACACTATGAGTATTCAGTTCCTTAAAGAACTGAATGGAAAACATTCCTTCCCACAGACGATAGACTTGCTAAAAGTATTTTAGAAACAACTTGTGAATGAACTCTGGCTAAGGACATAATGGAACGAAAGTTCATTGCTGACCCTCTCCCCTCTGCCCAAGCCCCTGTTGTTGTTGTTGTTGTATGCCGTCGAGTCAAACCCGACTCATAGTGACCCCTCCTTGGGTTTCCGAGGCAGTATCACTACGGAAGTAGATTGCCCAACCTTCTTTCCGAGGAATGGCTGGTGGGTTTGAACCGCCAGCCATCTGGTTAGCAGTCAAGTGCCTTAGCCACTATGCTACCAGAGCTCCCGACCCAAGCCCCTAGGAGCTGATAAGAAGAAACTAGTGACTCATCCATCACCCATTTCACATTCACACCCCAAATTCCTCAACATTTTGTGAATGAATATGCACAACCCCCTCTCCTGAAACCTACAAAAACTGTGTTTCCAGGGCATCTTGGGGAGTTAAGATCTGGGTACTGAGGACCCCTAACTCCTTGCACTGCTGTTTCACAATAAATAATTTTCTCTCCTATCAATCTCAGTGTGTAAACTGTTTTAGCCTGACTGAGCACTGGGCAGGGACCCACGTTTGGTCCGGTAACACTTCTAAAATCAGAAAAGTCGCTTATTCCAACATACAGAGCATTTTCTAGGTGTAAACCATGGTGTTCCACAATCTGGAGACACATGGACTCACTAAACACAGGGTTCCTGCCTGACGCTAGACTGTGACACACAGCATCACATAGACATATTGCTGGGGCAAGGCAGAAAGGGATAAATGTCACAAGAAAGCCAGAAAGGCACTGCTCTAGGGCTGGGTGGAGGAAATGACTCTGACTACAAACATTCAAGGTGCTCTAGTGTCATAGTGCCTAAGGCACGTGACTGCTAACCAGGAGGTTGGCGGTTCAAACCCACCAGCCACTCCTCGGAAGGAATGTTGGGCAATCGACTTCCATAGTGATATGGCCTCGGAAACCCTTGGATACAGCCTCGATGGCACATAACAACAACAACACAAACATTCCGGTCAGTATGATGGAGGAACAAGTACTGAAACTGCTCCAGAAAGTTGCTGAGGGCAGTGATGGGTCAGTGA